ATTCTTGAATGTTCAAAATGAGCTATATTGTCACTCCATAGTTAATGTGTCATAACGTTGGTTTTTAGTAGACTAGGTTCCATAATTTTTTTAAATATTTTTTATAATAAAATATTGAGTTAAGGGTTATTTTTACTTTTAAATTTAGGGTGAAAAGTTTAATCATAGATCTTAAGAAAAGTTTATGAGTAAAAGTAACCCTTAATTTAATATTTTACCATACAAAAATAATAAAAAATGGTGAGACACATTCATTAGAAGTGAATGTTATGAAGCAGCACATTTCAAACCTTCTGGGTTCAAAGACCCTAAATAAAATAATATATATGATATAAATTTAGATTTTAAGAATTTCTATGAGTGTGGTTAATTTTAAAAATAAAAATAAAAGAATAGAATGCGCGGGCATGGATATAGTGCAAAACTTGGGATGGTTATGGGTCCTGCTGTGGATAAGAATTTTCTTTTCTTTCTTTCTTTTTCCTTGGAAGGACCGGGGAACAAGGCACACCAACACGTGTCAAGGAAGTATTGCTGCCATTGCTCATTGTGGCAACATGCGAAATTAATCATTGAAAAGAGAAAGTGAATGAAGCCCGTGATAGCATGAATATCGATTTGATTTGTCATGGGAAATGAACCAAATCAATAATAAAAACGTTCACTGTGAATATATATTGATTTAATGGATATATAAGATATGATAAAAGTTAATACTCTTTAACTAATTAGCCTATGTTTTGATAGACGGGACTATAATCGTTTAAACATGAAATCTTGAGATTCAAGCTTACATGAATATAAAAAATAAAAAAATAAAAAAATAAAAAGACTAATCTTAATTAGATTTGATAATATTTGAATGAGTTGGATATGACTCATAGACACATAAAAGGTTAATATTCTTTTCATTAATTATTATAATGTATTTTTAATTAACTCACATAACTAACTCTCTTAATGAAAAATGATTCAAATTATTGGAGGCAGTGTAATTTTTTTGTTAGGAGTATTTTCATAAAAAACAAATTAATTACTCTTAATATTCAACAAAATACCTTTTGAATTAAATGATAAAACATCATGAATCAAGTGATCATATGAATATATTGATTTGATTTGTCAAAGTTTCTTTCAGTTGACATCTCTGGGATTTATCGTTGTCTACCTTTTTCTTCGATTCAATTTTCTTCCCTTTATTTTTTCTTCTAATTATTGTCCTCAGATATTATTTCTTTATTTTCGGTGATCTCTCAAATCTATTTTAAAATTGTGGTTTTTGAGAAGAGAAATGGAAAACATGGAAAAAAAGAAAAGAAAAGAAAGAGAAACAAGTAGAGTTTAGCCATTGCTGAGATAAAAAATAAACTTATATAAAGCTCAAATAGAATTCACCTTCTTGGACATCTTTTGGACTCTATTATACTTTTGTTGTCTTCATATGTGTATTCACTTTGACTTCCTTAACGTATATGTTGAGTTTGGATTCCCTTTCTTTGGAAAAAAAAAAAAAGCCCAATATTTGAAGTCTATTATGAGTTTTATTAACTAAAGTGGAGATGGTTCATATGAAGATAATTGAGAGAGGTTATATTCACAGTGGAAGTGCAACCATTTGAGAGGGTGGAAGAGAAAAGGTTGTTTTCGCATATTCTCGAGCATTCTTAACAAATTTGTGTTTATGGATTCTTTAACTTTGGATCCTGCTGAATTTTTGTCAACTAATTTGGATCTAGTTTATCATTTTTAATGTTGGATTTTTGATTCGTTGTCTTATGTGAAAGCTATTCCATTTGTGTTATAGGCCACATATTGAGTATTTTTCATCCTTTTCAATCATTCTTTTTTGTAAGTTTATTGTTTTGATGCTTTTTGGTTGTCTATGCATTTGGTTGAGAATCTCTTATACCTATTTTGATGATAATAAATCTATTTTTTCATTGGTCTAGTTGACTCATGATTTTTGCCTTTGCATGTCTCATTTGTTAATCATGTTCTTCCAAGTTCTTAACACAAATGTTTAGGTTAAAATGTGATTTTTGGCCCATGCCCAACTATTTGGGTTTAAAAGAGTAATTTTGACCTAAAAGCTTATCTAAAACTTTTCAAAAAGAGATGGTTAAGGGGAAGTTTTGGTCAAGGACACATCGCTTTGCAAATGACAAAAAGTGGAGGAAGTGATAGAAAAAATTGTAATTAGTAATCTAAAAAAATGAAGTATGGAGTCATGAAAAAATTATTACTTTATGCTTGTAAAAAGGAAGCCACCACACACATATAAAGCATCTTTTTAATTTTTTAACTTTACAGCTTTACACATAAACTCTACAATAAAAACCTTAACCTTATGTCATCTTTTACTTCACCCAACGTAACTCCTTTTATCCATTGGTAGATTTGATACTGTGTCCTTAGCACACCATGCTTGAAGTTCTCCAATAACCAGTAGGTTCTAATTCTTAACAGAACAACTGTAACATCACACCAATGCTTTTCCTTTTAGTTTTTTATTTTTTATTTCTTGTAATTTCTTTTTTATATACAAGGCTTGCATATTTTTCTATCTTTATTTCTCCATTCTATTTACTTTTAGGAACATGTGTTGAAAAAATTGTGGTACAAAATCTCAGGAATTCACTGTTTGATTTTAGAAGTTAAGAACATCAAAACACGCTCACGCACAAAACACTATAAACAATAAGTTATCATATTATCCCTTGTTTGTTATCATCTTTGATGTGTAATTCCAGAATTATCTTATTGAAAATTCTAAGAGATGCAAATGTTCATTCTTAAAAAAAAAAAAATCTTCCTCTACATTAAATCACTTTATTTAAATTTAGGGGTAAAAAGGAAAGATAATTTAATTTTATGATAAAAGTGATTTATATATAAGATCAAATAAAACATATTTATAGTTCAATTTGATTCTTTCAATTTGGGTTTCATGTACACTTTCATTTTCTATTAATATATAAATTGACTTTCATGTAAAAAACAACTAACTAATAATTAAGTGAATGGGAATAAAATCTGAAAAATAGAAGGCGAGTGTGCTTTATTTTTTTGTTAAAACCTCTAAATCCCAATTTACAAAACGGAGTTTTTAAGAAGCACATGCGCTGGAGGTCTGGAAAACGACATTTTCCCAACACTTACTTTCCCTTTTATGTAACCTCAATTCCTAAGGTATCCTGTAAGACTATTTTTGCTCAATTGAGTTTTCTCAAATATGTAGTTTTTGGTAATACCATTTATTTTCTAAAATGATTTCCCAAGCATACACTTTTTTTGTCCCTTTGTACTGGTACCTGGAAGGCTGGAATTATATGCTTCTTCCATTTGCTGACCCCACACACACACACACACGAGATTTAGAACAAATTTAATTCGTACTTTTTTTGGCCAATTAAGAAATTGAATTAAACTTGGAGATGTTATGTTTAAATTTTTTTAGCATTTTTTTCTTACAAAACAAGTGTGCTTTTTTTTTAATATAAATATTAAGTTAAATTAATCAATTTTAGAATATGATAAAATAGGCTTTGGGATATATGTGTTCAGAACTTTTTAAGCCACTGTATAATAGGCAATTTAACAACTCGTTGATAAACGGTGGATGGAAAATTGGGAATCAATGTTTTTTTTTTGGTTGGGTCAAATGGGAATCAATGTTATAACAACTAATCATGCTTATACCAAAAAAATTTAATCTAATTGATCAAAATTTGACATATAACTTATAAGGTTGTGGACTCAAATTTCATTCCTTATGTGAGAACTTTATTATTTAGTAATTTATACTTATATCTGTATGTGCTTGTTGAACATGAAAACATGCTCTGATTTTAGTGAGTTTTTGATATTCTACTTACCTAAACTTTTTTATAAAAAAAAAATCAAGTTGATTGGTAAAAAACCCTTTTCTTTTGTGTCTAACTTGACTTTGGGCTTCGAACACCTTTAAACATTCTAGCCCATCGATGTAACTTGCATAAACTTGGTCGAAGTCCAATATGTACACGCGCACACACAGATATGGAAGGGTTTGCTTGTTAATTCACAAACCCTTGTACATATAAAATGGACACTAATGACGTGGAACAAACCTTCATATGTACACGCGCGCGCGCGCACATGAACATTTAAAATATATTATACATCTGCCTTTTCACATAACTCAAGTTCTATTCTAATAATATTGTGCAAATGCAAATTGTGAGTCCATGTCTCAAAGGAAGCACCAAAATGGAGGACTCAACAAGATTTGAAGCTCAAAAATTGAAATCCGAATGAAATTGACAAGTTGTTAGCACTGTTACTGAAGGATTTTGGTATCGAAATGGTGTGATTGCATTGGACTCTAATCTTTTCCGTTGGGCTTATAATCCTACCTGAGTAGCTTTAAATCTGTCGTCTCCTACAAGTATTTGAAGGTTCTAATTCTAACAACTCTCTTTGTCTCTCCTTTCACTCTACATAAAACAAGTACCTCTTAAGAAATCTTTATTATAAATTTTATCGTTTGCTCAATTAGATGACTTGGATAGAAGTTGAATGAGTTTAGAGCAACTATTTATAATTTAATATGTTATTTGAATAGTTGACTGATATTGCTGAATAACACAGAAAAAATGACAGATATTGCTAGATTTGAAAACATTTGAACTGTTACTCATACTAAATTGGCTAGCATTGGATTCGATTTATCTGTTGGTGTTAGATCAAGCTAATGAATCAGTTCACAGATGGAAAGGACTCCGAGATTTTTCTTTTTAAAAAACACTGAGTTTTTTTGGTAACAATTTACCAAAAGTCACATTGTTGATGATATAATAGGTAATTAGTTCTTGGCTTCATACATCCCTAATCTAATTTCAAAGATGACACGTTGTAAGAGGCTTATTTCAACTCATAAATCATCGTATTTTTTATTAATTTGGGGGTAATTTTTCTGGAGAGTACTTTAGCAAAAGAAGAAATTTAATTTCAAAATAAGATTTGGGAATCAAATATGAAAATGTATTCTCATTGATTTCTGAGGATTATATCAGAGAAAAGAGTGAAAATACAGAATTATTACAGGAGTCTCCTTGATAAGTGGGGGTGCTTCTTCAATTGCTTTCCGAGCAGCCTCACATTCTTTAAGGACTTTGGCATTTGCTTCTTCTACTTGCATTTGCATCGCATGCAATACATCCTTTTAACTTGGCAATTTCTTGTGCCTTTTCCTCTTCCAACTCAGCCTATAAAAAGAAGAAAACAAAATTATTATGAAATGAGATTTGCAGCATTCATGTCACCAATCAAGAAAGCAATTTGATAAATATAAAACATGATAATTACTCTCAAACGCTTTTCAATTTGTAAACGCCATGTAAGTCCCTCAACACGCTTTTCTAGTTTGTTCTTCGCTCTTGAAGAGCCCCTGTTTCTCTTGCAGCCTAAATGAAGTTGGACAAATTATTAGATCCTGAAGTCAATTCTCATGCAACACAAACAGCATTAAAATAAATTATCATTTTAACCATTTTAAGTTTTCTGAGTTCCCTCCTAGCAACCCTTTTCCTCCAGCCACATTGAATAACAACTGCAGCTTTCTGCAGTCTTCTATAATAAGAATGTGCAATATGTTGACGCACGCGAGCCTGCGACATTTTTTTCACAAAAGATATTAATATGAGATGGCAAAATTATACAGAAGTAAGACATATACAAACACACACGGGGAAAATAAATCAGGGTTCATGTCTTCTCAACCAAGTCTACAAATGATAAGGATGATAGATAGACGAGCACCTGTACAATAATTGCAGCCTTTGTTTGCTTTCTAAATCTAAATTCATCACGAGCCTTCATTGCCCTTAAACCTGTCTGTAGTGTGATTGCAGATGATCGTGCTGTTAGGGAACATTTCCTTGCAATGTATCCTCTGAAATTCTTCCCTATCTTCACAGCTGCTGCTTCACTCCGCAACTGCTCATACAGCTTCCAAGCCAATATGCCTGTTCATTATCGAATTGAACCAAAAGAACAGCACATTAAGAAAGCAGTTTATGTAGATCAACCCATATGGATAAAAAAACCTATTGTACCAGGAATATTTAAGCATTTCACCGCAACATAAATTTTAGAATGGTATGAACACATTACGGACGATGAAATATAGGTTTAATGACCACAGAAACAAGACAAGTGCTATTTGTCAGCAATAACACTGATTTATCATGCATTCTTTTAGCTCGAAAGTTTGAGAATTCATGAGTTCAAATAATTTTCATAGTTGCTCCACGTGAGCTTTGCAGAAACACCAGTGGATCTTTCTACAAGGTCCTAGTCTCACTTCAGCTCTACTAGTTTTCAAGTCCCGGCCCCTACATCATGGAGGAGCAAACTTTTGAGAATCTAGAGCTATCACAATTGCTACAGCTGGAACTTCCTCTAACAACTAATCTTGGGCCAACAAAAACCTCAATCACAACCCATCATCAAGCAACCAAAACATAGAAATTAACAGTTTTTTATTTGTGGGTACTGGCCATGGCCACAAGTCCAGTACCATCCTAATTTTAGTCCAATGGAACACAATTGCATGTTTTCTGTAATATTGCTTTTTGACCATAAAATTTTGACCCTTTTGCAAGAGAAGTAAGGATTGACTCAAGCACTAAGTCATTGAGGCACCAATACCATGTTAAAGATCATTTCATCATGACAGCTTAAGTTGTCAAGAGAACAAGACAAGTTCTACTAATGTCTCAAACAGCTATACAAGACTAAAGCTAGCTTTCAAAATTCTAGTAACAGTAATGCCGCCATATTTTCTTCATTCAAACAGCATGCTTCATCTGTGACATACTACACTTGCAAGAAGTAAAAACCAGAGGACATTTTATGACTTACCCCAAGAAACATGCATATTAAATGATATGAACACACAGCTATAACGCCAAGCAGTAAGACTCCCAAAATTCTAAACTGGATTTCCTAATAGATCAAATATGAACACTTGAATCAAAAATTGATGACATCTTCGAAGTTCTATTTATTAAGCTTTGGATGGCACAAAAACTAAGGAGATTTACAATCGTCTGTTGGTACCTGAATATGAAAAACAGACCAGTAGAAAAAGTTGCATCAAACTCACAAAGACAATACATATTGGCTAAAGGTTCAAACTTTCCCAAACAATGAAGCAATGAAAATTGAAGGCAGCCTTTAAGACAAAAATCTGGATACCTTGCAAGTTAGATTGCAAGTAAATTGCAGCTTGCCGCAATTCAATGAACTCCTTGCGTGCAATATAGGTGCGTATTTGTCTTTGGATAGTTCTTTCTGCATTTCCAAGCACCACGGCTCTTCTTGCATCCAGGTCAGCCATCTGACCAGCTCTTAGGAAAATCTGTCTTACCTACCTGTCGAAGCATCATAAACAGTGAGAATGGAACTAACAGAGTGCATTAGCTTAGACTTCCACATGATATGGTAAAATAACTCCAAGCAAAGCAACCTTTAAGACCAAAACAAACAAACATATAAATAGATCCAGAAGTTCCTACATGCAGTAACCAACATCAAGAACTACTGGAATTTATATACGTATGTATGCATGCATGTTGGAGAAATTATAAATACACAACTTTAAAAAGTCGATAAAGCATATTTTCTATGGCAAAAAAATTGTGGTTCATTTTATTACTTTTTTTCCTTTTTTTGAATTTTTATCCCTAAGGTAAGCCTGCATGACAAAGTAAAAGATTAATTCAAAGTTTTCTGTTTTTTTTCTTTTTGGTTGACGTGTCATGGCACTGTGGCTGCGTGACGTTCAAAGTTTTCGATTAGTCCCAAAATTTTCCAAGTACTCACATATGCATCAGTATCACAACTTGCACTCTTCTAATCAGAAAATTAATTTTGGCTGCACATGCTTAGCAGCAGACTGACGCCGTCCCCAATACATCAGTTAAAAAACAATTCACAGATTGTTATGTGTTGGAATCTCATGATTAGAGCTCATCATGATCAGATTTTTCATTCTCTGATTGTCCCTTGTTTATCACATGGGACTTTAGCATCGTAAGTCAACTTGTTTCTTTCCTTTTTCATTTCTATGCATCATGTGATCTCTATTACCTTTTTTTTTTTTTTAAGATTTTCCGCTTGATTTATGAGAGTGGGTGGCTGATTCATAGTCAGCTATCTCCTTAATATGAACAATTCCTAAAACTACTGAATTCAAAAATTCCACATTATGCAGAGTATCATCTATTTAGCCAAATAGCAGTGCTTGGCTTATTCTCAACCTTCAATTTCAAGTCTTGTCCCTCCCATGCGCAACTGTAAACATATCAAGCTACAAGAAGCAGTTAAATCATCTGGTAGACTTTCAAACCATTTTATCTAGGATAATTTGGCATGCGACTTTATCATCATAGCTGAAAAGGAACAAGTAGAAACAGTTAACTAACATAGAGATGAAAAGCAGGAGTGAGAATTAAACTAAAGGCAAAGCAGTACATTGGATGCTCTAGAAATCAGAGACATACCAGACAATTACGTTTTTCCCGGAATAAAAAAGCAATTAACCAAGCTAAAGACAAAAACAGCCCATAAAAAATGAGACTTACTTTCCATCCAAAACTTCGGGGGCTAGAACACCAAATCAGTTAAGAAACTCATAAAAGGTCTGTCTAGGAGGATATCCACCACAGCTGATTCTAATTGCCGCAAGCACACCTGCAGTAACAGTAATGTGATAACCAATCAACAAGGATAGATAGATGTCAAATATATTGTAACTTTGCATGCTTGGGTATCAAAGCTGAAGAAGAGAAAAAAACATGGTGATATACTCACACCACAGCGCAATTGTTGGATAATGTTGACACTTTCAAAAATAGCAGGCTTCAGGACATTGTTTGGTTTCACACTGATATAGTGAGGATCTGTTGAACTTAAGGTCTCCATCAAAGATTGAAGCTGTAACTGCATATTTTAGAAACACAAGTCATTCACTTATTGAAGAATAAAATGGCCCAGATACATCAGTTGATAAAGAGATGACTGAGACTGTATCATTAAGGGCCAGAGTTGCAAATAAATACCATGCAAGACTACCAAGCAACGCCATGTCAAAGAGGAAGATCAAACTAAAAGTTGAGCAAAAGGTTGAAGCACTTGTGAAATCAAATGATGATATCAGTGACTATTATGACATGTTCTGGTGGTTTCGCCAGCCTTGTATTTCAAGGGTGTCTAGGTTCCCATGGCTTCTCAGCATACGCATATACAACAGTTATCACCATTTAACAAGTAATTGAATAAGAGCTACCTCGATTATGTACTGTCCAAAATAACTTCTGCAATCAGCAAGAAAAGCCCTACCCCAGTGCCACATAGGCAATTACTCAGCACGTCCTACTTCTATGATCGTTCATGTATTCATATACTTCATTCCAGGGAAGAAAAGTACATAGCTAGAAGAAAGAAGCATAGAAGACAGCCATTAAATCCCAAGATAATGGAAATAAAATGCATGAAAATAAAGTAACTGAATAAGAAGCAAAATATGCAGAAATTAAAAACTGAACAGAGTCAAAATAAATTCAGGAATATCTCAATATAATACTACCAACGGTGACTAGAGATAGAACGACCCTTTTTAATGTTACGATGCATGTTAGTTTCAACGTACTAATGTCTATGGCCTATTTAAAATTATTTTTATTTATTGTTCTAAGAACTAATGTTTTATAAAACATATTTTGAGAATAAAAAAATAATAAAAATAAATATTTTTTTCATTCTCCCTTATTCTTCAAAATAATAATCCCAGAACACTTAAAAGATATTTCCCTTTTTTTATTATCCAGAATAACATTTTATTTTATTTTATTTTTTTGTTTTCTAAGCCATTTTTTGAAAACATAATACTAAACAGTATAAAACCATTCAGAACATGTTGCCAAACAGACCCTATATTTTTATTTTATTTTTTTCATTCTTCATCCTAAGCGAGTATAGAGTGTTCAGCTTTCAGAAAAGTAAGAAGACAGATACCTAAAGCATAAGCAAGTATGGAAAACCAACCTTAAAAACTGGCTTGTGAGGGGCAAGAACCATGCGACTTAAGTACCAGAAAAACTACTTGTGGCTATTTCAGAGTGCGATTCCAACTATATCTCTATACATTTCAAAAGGAGACAAAGGGATTATAATACCTTGAAACGCGATCCAATTGATGAGAACTTGGATGATTTTGATGACTCCTCTTGAGAAGGTGGGAATAGACCAGCCACAAATGAGCATCTTGAGGCTGTCTGTAGAGCCTGATGTTCTGCAACCACATAATCCTTGTTTTTGTCGAGAAACATATCAGCCTGTTAAAGTACCTGGGCAAGAAAATTAGATGTAACTGAGTTCCACACCCAGACCCAAAGAATTGGGTTCCACTTCTTTGAATTTCATATCTGGCCATTTTACCCCATCACCTTCTCTCCTAAAACAACCAAAGGATGAAGACAAAGAAGAAGGACCATGTTCGGCAGCACACTCTAGATTGATGGAGATGGTCCAGGACCATGTTTGACGGCACGCTCCTAAAACGGCCAACAAATTTGATTTTTATCTTTGATTCCATGATTTTCTTGTTCTTCAATAGTGGTTCAGTGTGGTTCTCTCATGGATCCAGATCTAGTTCCTCATCTTCTCTCTCCATAGGTCCACAAATTATTTAAATTTTGCTTCAATCTTTCGTTTTTCTTCCGGATGGTGATCACAACAAGGAAGGGGTTTGTTTTTGCTGCGAGGATTCATAAGGTTCCCAGCGAGGAAGGGGATATGCAAACCACTTCAGTCTTTTTTTTTTTTTTATTTCTTTTTTTTTCCCCTTGAAATCTAGTTCATGTGATCCCTGAATTAAAGTGAAAGTTTCATCTTCATTGGGTTTGTTGGGTGTTGAGTATCTTACACTTGGCTTCTCTCTCCTAACTTTTATCTTTATTTCCTTTTCGTTAACTAAAATAAAATTTAAATTATTTAAATTATGAAAATTAAATTTAGATGATCCGCATTGAACATTTTTATTTTTTATTAATATTTATATTTTAACTTATTAAAATAAAAATAAAAATTTTAATAAATTTATTTTATTACTTTAGATAGTATAAATTTAATATGTTGAATTCAATTTAATTTTGAATTTATTTATAATTTTTATAAATTGATTATCCAGATTTACTCTAAAAAGTTCAGATTTATATTAATTTTTTATAATTTTTATAAATTTTTATTTTGATAAACATAAATTAAAAGTGAAGATAATCTCCCAGCTAACACTTTCTAAAATTATATTTTATAAAAAATTATAAATTAAAAAATTTAATCTAAACTATTCAAAGTAAATCTAAATAATCAATTTATAAAATTTAATATTAATTTTAAATCCTCCAAATTAAATTTGGACTATTTTTAATGGGTGATAAAATAGATTTATTAAAAAATTTAATTTTAAATTTAATAAGTATAAAATATAAATATAAATAAAGAATAAAAATTTTAAATTTGAACCATCCAAAGTTATTCTACACCAAAGCTAGATGATTTAAATTTCATTTTAATTAGTGGAGCAAAACTGGAGAGGAAGATTAGTGGAGAGAAGCCAAGTTCAAATATTTTGAATGAGAGTCATGACTGGTGTAGGGCTAATTGGAAAGAATAGGGAGAAAATGAAGCTTTTTTTTGGTCAAAAAAAATTTATGATATTTTAATATTTTTAAAATATAAATATATTTATTATATAAAATTTTTATTCTATACTAAATATACTTTTAGATTTATTTTTACTTTTAGTTCCACCTCTATTTCAACCAAAAAACACTTCTGTGTGTCAGACGGGGTATAAATCATCATCCTCAATAAACGATAGACAACTGTCCTAAAAGGGCGCTTATGAACAGTAAAATGAGGGTATTTTTGTCATTTTATTAGAGAGGAAAAATTTACCTTCCGCCGCATCAGAGTAAAAATACAGAGGAACCAACGCGTATTTTCGATATTTGATATCCTGCGAATGATTTCACCTCAGCTCGTACAATAAAGTCAGGGTGCAAGGTTACATTCTCTGATTTTCACCATTGCATGTTGTATAAAGCTATTCCCCATTATTCAGCTCACCTCAGCCCATACAAAAGTCATCAGGAAGAAAGGTTATGTCAAATAACCTATCACGATTTCACAGTCAAAAAAACCTGCTCACTTTCAATTGTCTAGCCCGCACCGACAAATTCGTTCAGTCTCTTTTCACTCGGCAAATCCTCCCTAAACCACTATCACTTCCACCCACCCCAGGATGCCGTGTTCTTTCAATCCGTTGCCATTCTTACTACAGATTACTAGGGGCTTCAGTGAGAGCACAATTTTTGTGCTTAATCTTCTCCATAAAATCCTTCTTTTCATCCTAGGGTTTTACCACTCCTCCGTCACCTGTCCCATCTCCTTCTCCTCACTCCTCTGTTTTTTATTCGTCCAACTCAGTATGGATGCCTGTAACGATTATGCATCGGACGAAAGCCATTTTGATCTGCTCAACAGTTATCTGGAGTATACTCGTAAAGGTAGATCAGATGTATGCTCGCATTGGTGAAGAAGTCTATGAACTCGATCTTGGTTATCCGAAGTGTGCACGATCCATCAACCTCATGGTATTCAATCAACAGGTGATAATACTCATATCTTTCAAATTGAAACATATATTAACTCGTCTATTGTTAAAGCGAAGATGAACCAATGATTCTTCATTGAAAATATCTGCTTGAGAAATGTTGCTGAAGATTGATGAAAGTGGGAGGTTTTGCAGTCCTAGAGCTGCCAGAGAACTTGTTCTGTGAATTCTTCATTCCAACCTTTTTTTGTGAAACGTCCCAATTATTCATGTTCTTTATACAAGTTTTGGGTGTGCAGGTCCATAATGTACGCCGCCAGTTTAGAAGGGTCAGCCCCAGTTCAACTTTTTGAGAAGGTAACGGTTCTTATATGATATTTTTGCTTTTCTTATATAGCATCTGAATTTTGGGTTCAAGGTCGTTGATAAACTACCCGAGCTTTGGAGAACTCGGTTATATTTGAGTAAATGTTATGTTTGAAATTGTTATCTCATGTAAATGCACAGAACTCGGCTATGATTTTGACAAGGACAAACTGCTAAAATATAATCAATTATATGAGCTTTGGAAGGCCACCTGCTACTGTTGAATCAATTGAAGAAGCCAATGAACTTCTGCAGAAAAGATGAAAGGGAGTCGCATAGATAATAGATCGATCATTTTTTAAAAAATTGGCATACAATCAATCATATACTTGAAGGGAAGGGAGCCCTCGATTGGTTTAGAAATTAGAGGGGAGGGGCTCTCTTCTAATCCTCCTCTCTCAATTTGGGATTTTTTGAAGGGGAAAGGAGAAAGAAAATGATTAAAAATAATTTAAATATTTATTTTAAAAAATTTTAAACTACCTTTAATGTTAAAATTATGTATTATTTTTTTCTCTCTTTCTTATAATAAAATTTTTTATCACTTTATAAAATTAACATATAATTTTTTAATATATAAAATTTTAATATTTTTATTAGACTCGCTAATAAAATATAATATTACTGTATTTGTTCTTTCGATTTTTTTATCAATATAAGTTTATATTCTTAAAATAAAAACTTAATAAATTACAATTTAACATTTTTTCAAAGCAAAAAATAAAAATCAAGTTAAATTTGATAGAAATAAAATTGTTAATTTAATTTTGTTCCTCTCCCCTCCCCTCTTAAATTGAACAAAGCTTTATTAAATCCTCTCCTCTTAAACTAAATATACTCTAATTAAGAAATAATTATTTGGAAGATCTACCATTTCAAAAGCAAGCTCAAGGATACCTTAGAGATGACTTAACCTCTCTTTGAGCTTACTTAAATTCATTTTCTTACCAAGCACAATTAACACTAGATTATATCTCCACAGTTTACACCACTCTTTGAACCAGCGTTTACGCGTTTCCTTATTATAATATCTTTAAAGTAATATTTTAAATCTTTTTATAATTGTTTTACATTATAAAAAATAGCATGAACTTTATAAAATCTGTATGACGTAATTATAGCCCAATCAACATATAAAAAATATTAACAACAACAAACATGATATTTACTAATTCAATAACAGATAAAACATAACCATAAACAATAATATTTATTGGATTTTTTTCTTGTACGTTTGCGCACCAAGTTATGGAACATTTTTTCCTGTTTAGATTTTGGTGCAACCAACACATATTTGTAGTATTTACTTACCCATCCGTGGCATGAAAAACTTATACTTCATCGTTATTACAATTAAACATGTTACTTTTATACTTAAAAATAATAAAGTTTATAATAGTAGTAATGTGTTAGCTTGGATCATGTGGGGTACTTGATACCCAATATTACATATTTATACCATCATCTCATCCCCTAGCCAGCATCAAAACCACCTCTTCATTTCAATCCATAATATTGTTCATTTAAGCAAATAATTCAAATGAAACCCTTAAAGATTCCCAGACAAAGATATTGTTCAATTATTTATTTCTTGCGCAATACATGACAATGTTAAATGTAAATAATGATCAAATGCAATATAAACATTAAATTTTACTCTTTTTAATTAATGAAAGTTTACTATATATCATAATGAATAATAAAAGCAATTTTGTAACTACAGATCAGTATATATTGTATTTTTATTTAATATATCAAGATATCATATATACATACATGTACCTATATATACATATGTGCTCTCATGAGAATATATAAATGAGTGTCAAAGTGAGTGTATAAGAGAAAAATGTGTGCGATGATTGTTACTATTATTATTATCATTAATAGGCTACAAGATACTATTTGCCATCATGGCATGGCTAGCCTAACCCCCAATATAAATATTATGAAGAGACACTTCCCACCAAAGAAAAAAAACTCCAAATGTGCCTGCACTTGGTTTTGTCATGGGAAATAATAAATAATATTAAATTTGAACCAAACATTGTAAGATAAAATTTATAAAAATTTATTTATTTCAACAATATACAACTGAAGTAAAGCTATGAAATGCAAACTTTATAATCAATACTCAAGTTTATCAAGCATTGTGATCAACACTTAATACCAAATCATCATTTCAATAGTAGATAGAAGTACAATAACTCTTATACCATTTTCTAGTAGATAATATAAGAGTTTTATGCATTACTATTACTAATAACAATAACAATAATAATAGTAGTAGTAGTAGAAAGATAGAAGTTGTCATCTATTCATAGCGAAGATATATTGCTATTTATATTATTTTATATTTTTGTTTTTTAAAATCATTTCAGATCACCCTATTGAGCATTACGTTAGGATTTCAACTTGACATTGAATTGGTTGAATTTTTGCTTTATCCAAAGTTTATCAACATGTTACCTGTTAAGATTAATTCATATCCTATAAAGAAATAAAGTACTCAACAATAAGTTGCAGTTTGGGCAAAAAAACTATGAGCTGTAAATAAAAAGTCGTGTTTTTCCTTTCAATGAAAGAGCAGATTTGGGAGAGTGGGGCAAGACATTTGAGATGGGTTTAAAGCTGTCAAAAGAAAAAAGAAAAATAGACGTATGAAAATAATGAACCAACTTTTATTGCTGGACATCACAAGGGATACCACGTGTATTAAATGACAAAATGACTTAACCCATGCAGCACCTGTTACCTTTAGTATCTCAATTCTCATAAATTAAATAAGATTTAAGGATAGTTATGTGCGTACCTGAAAAATCTATGATTGAATGCAAGACCTCGATTGCCTCGAGTATACGTAAAATCTACTAGA